CCTTCTATACCTGCAGACTGACACTTCATTTCTGCAAAAGAAATCCATGGGAAGCAAAATCAAGAACAAAAAGGTGGAACAAAATAATGTTAACATGTTGAAAATTGAAGTGTGGAATAGAAAAGATCTCTGAATGGGCTTGCAGCGGCTGCACTCAACACATTAGGACGCAAGCCAATATATTGCACATTAGACATGACTGGACAGTGGCAATGTTTTGCCTGCCAGCTGTGCCGTAACTTTTGCAGATCAACTGTATGCTATTAAAGAGAGTGCAGCCGAGTTTTGAAATTCAGAGATCTACTCTATGTGACTTTAAGCCAGTGACCGTTGCTATTGGGGGATGCAGGAGTATGCAGGGTATCATTAAAACAAAACTACACCAGGACATTTTACTGATTAGTACATTGTTTTAAGAACTTTCCTTTGTCGTTAGGAGGATCTTCTTATACTGTCATTAGGTTTCCAAAACAGGGGCTACTATTAGTTTATAGTACTCATTAGTACAAGGAGCAGGGATGGTCTGGTAGGCAATATTCAGTGGGTCAAATCCTTTCATATTGGATGCATCATGTACATCCAAAGGGAAAAGCATTAAAGCTCTTGTTCTCAGATGGATGGGTGAGGGTTTAAAGGCAGGACTTAGCTATTATCTATTACTCCTGGGTTATCCGCACACTGCAGTTAGTCTATTTCTGAACATTTACCTTCTACAGTTCCCGAAGAACATTTGATAGGATTGGAAAGATGACAAAAGAAATTAAAACAGTAAAAGAGTTGTGAAAAACAAAGATTAGCAGGGTAGCAAAAGAACAGGTGGTAATGAAAGTCAAGAATCACGTGGATTAAATTTTACAATAACTTCCTTGCCATGTGGTTTGATTTAGATTTTAAAAAAAGAAAAAAAAAAGATCAATTTAATTTTCCATGTCCTGTTGTGCTGAGTAGAGAGTCTAGAAAAAACTACAAACGTGGTCAGCGACTTGATTACTTCGATTTAAGTATTTAAATGTGTTACAATACCTTCTTGCCAGCAGCGCCAACACTGGCCTTCTTGATGCCTCGTACTTTCTTCATTCTGTTCTTGCGTTCCTTGCGCTGTTTCCTTGATGTCTTCTTTTTCTCATAGAGACCATGCTGAGGAACACAAACAACAGTGTTTAATTTCACCATATTATACGATAACACTCACTTTTTCTGCATCTGTTAGGGGTCTAGAATGGGAGACAATCTGGTTTTTAGGCTTTAAAAAAAAAAACACATTGAGAATGTTTATATTAATACTAGACTCGACCACTGCCAAATTAATGGGTAAAATACAGATTTTAATACCATTATGCCTGATGGGAATTACGTATAATTGACCTCCACTTGATGGACTAACTTTTTAGGCAGTCACATCTTTCATCTGTCAAATGCTGCCCTGCTGGCTCTTTGCCAAATACTTTAAATTATATCCATGCAAAATGGGTACATCAAGTGTCTGACAACCCTGAGGGGCAATAACAGCCTCTACAATATCATTAAAAGGTCTTACAGTCAAGAACAGATTTTAATAAAACTGCATTTGAAGCACAGAACACATAACATTTACTCTACACGCTGCAGCAGAACCAGTGGGATGGGTGAAAAGGCAATGTCTTCTTTTAATAAAGGTCACATTAAAATCGCAGCTCTCTGATCACTGGCAATTAAGGTATAAAACTAAGCATGCAGACACTCCGCAAATGGTTTAAACTCACCCTGGCAAGTCTGTGTTTGGGCTCATTCTTCTTAGCATAGTCTAGGGAGTCGTACACCATGGCAAAGCCTGTTGTCTTGCCGCCACCAAACTGAGTCCTGAAGCCAAAGACGAACACAACATCAGGAGTGGTCTTGTACATCTTGGCAAGTTTCTCCCTGATTTCAGTCTTTGGGACCGTGGCCTTGCCGGGATGGAGGACATCGACGACCTGCAGAGAGGACAGAAAGCAAATAAACGCACTGTAAGAGATGCTGGAGCTCATGATGTGATCAACAATGAAGCGGGCAAAACACGTGAAGCCTTACCATTTGCTTCCTCTGAAGCAGCCGGTTCGTCATGAACTTGCGGGTCCTGACTGTTACTGTGTCGTTCTGAAAATGGGAGAATTGAATGCCATTAGACACGAAACTACGGAATATGCAGCCATTCAATGCAACTCTTCAATACGAAGGCAATAGCAATCTGTAACTGTCATAGCACTAGCATTACAATCAACTTCCTGGCTACACTATTGCTTAACAGAGTTTCCAGACACCGCAATTTTAAAGTTTTTATAGCCAAATGATGCCGTCTTTACGTAAACATGTGCAAGATAACAAAGTTGAGTAGCGCTGTAGCATTTTAATATCCCTATTGGCCTCAACAGAGGGCCTCGCTACAGCTAGCTGTGGAGCTTATGCTAATGGTTAGCCACTGGAGGCTACGACTGTAAATTCTAACTTATTTCTGTGTAGATAATTTATTTAGTCGTGAAGCAACTGGGTATGTCAAAGCGCTTCTCTGGTGAATGGAAAGCAATAAAAACACAGAGAGGGGACTGCTGAACTCAGTCAAATAAGGGGAAAACAGTGTGGTAGCGTCCGGACCGACGTAAGTCACGATAGCATTTGGATAATGTCGCTGAGTTTCCTGTTATATTGCTTCGCACTATACCAATATTGACATTTTTATATAAAGCAGACTTCAAGGATCACTTAGTCTGCGAGAAATGTGCGTTGCTGAGCGGATGGCCTCGATGATCAACGGATTTTACTCGTAATTTTCACCACAAGACTCACCATCTTGACGCCGGCCTCGCTCAGGGACGTAGAAAAGGAGGAAGGACCGGCGGGCGGCCGGAATAATGCCTGCAGAAAACTCAGTAGGCACGTAGTTGTATTGCCTGACGAAAAACATGAAAAAATTAAGAATTTGGGGGGGAAAAAATTATTTCGTGTCAGCAAACGTAATATATTGTTAGTATATGATGCAGCACCACAGATACATGACAAGAAAGTACAACTTGTACTATAAGCGTTTTGTACCAAAGCTTGTTTCTTTTTTTCTGCTACTAAAAGATGAAAAAAATACATCAGGGTGCATAACAGATGAATAAAACAAATAACGTTTGAAAAAATCCCGCTGAATCATATGTGTATATTATTAAATGCTTTAGGTAAACAGAAATTTAAGAAAACATCTCCTGCTTTCCCGCTCTAGTCCACTAGACGTCAATAACACAACGCCTGAATATTGGTTAGGGCCGTTTAGTTGAGTGGATGAGACAGTATTCACTATTGAGTTAGATAAACCTAATAAAGAAACCTAATACCTACACACTGTAATAATGAAAATGTACAAAATAATTGTTTTGTTTCACATTATTGGATTAACCGATTGGGTGGGCCAAAGGACAACATTTGCTGTTTGACCTCTGGTGACCCCTACTCCCACCCTTCACCTCCCACTGTCTGTATATGATGTATGCAGCCTGTGGCCTAAAGTCACCATTAAATCCACTGCACACAGCAGAAAACAAACGTGCCTTAAATTCCCCAGACACCTGGAACAAACAAAGAGGACTGTATTAAATTAACACTGTGTGGCTGTACTCTGGAATTTCTGCATGTCAGCTAGTTTTTTGGCTGATATGATTAAGTATTTTAAATATGCACCATAAACACAATATACAACGCACTTTGTCATTGAATTTAGTTCTTAATTATTATGGCTGTATGCTGGGGATTGTTGTCATGCTGCAGAAAACATCTGGGACAGGCCAGACACCTTCCTCACAGTGATGGATAAGAATCAATAAGCACCTAATCTTTTTAGTTTGAATTCAATAGAAAAGGACTTAGGAACAAATTCTGACACGATGGCCCCGTCGTACTTTGGTGGTACAAATTCCCTTACTAATTAGCAATTAGTTTCACAATCTCTACCTCCTCATTTTTAATGACTTTATGACTATTTCTATTTTTTTTAAGGAATATTTTTTGATCACATGTAATGATAAATGTTATTTATTAATGCTAAATCATATGTTATGGCACGACCTTGCAGAACTGTCACTTTGGATTTCACTGCATATTCCATGTAAGCATGTGACAAATAAAATCTCTTGAATCCTGATAAATTAAAATACAAAAACCAATTAAGAATGCTGAGAACTTGAGATGATTTGAGGTCCTATGGAGTCTGATGTAGCTTTGTAGCAGAGCCTACTTTTACAATTTTAGAATCCAGGCATGGATTTATTATTATTATTATTTTTAAATCATGTCAAGTAGAAATCTATAAAATTCCTATCAGCACAGCTTCAAAGTCAACATCTGCTTACTAGATCCCTAAAGAGCCATTTACTTTAACCTTTAGAATCATAAACTGATGTTTTCCAGGACAGGACATCCGCAATAGCTTGCAAAATGACATCCCAAAGCTTCACATTCACTTTTGTGACTGTAGGTCACATACTCACCTCTGAAATCATTTCCATGCACCATTTTGCTTTAGAAAAAGTATTTACTAATTCACACGCATTCATCTGTAATATAAATTCTAGCAGTTGGTTGCTTAAAGAAACAGTGTGCTATGAATAAGAGAATGTAATAAATGCCTGCTGAAGGTCAGACAGACCAAAACATTGTAAATAAATAAATATTTCTGCAGTCAAGGAGACAGTGTGGAAACAACACAAAATGCACATAAAAGGTTATGTTTTCGAGTACGTTAAATGTGGCATTTCAGGTGAGGGAAAGGGAGCTCTACTCCATTTGTGCATAGAAAAGGAAGATTCCTTCTTCGTACTGAAACCGAGTGACAACAACGGCTCTTACAAAGTCATGCTCAATGATTGCATTCCTGTTTATGTCACCGCCAAAGTAGCTAAAATAACTACACAAAACAGAGACAATTAAAAACACAAAAATCTTGTTTTCTTTGTTACGGAATTTTATTGATCTTGCAGCAACAGTGTCCACTGGCATTGGAGTTTCATTTAAAATAAAGTTATTCAAAATCAGAACAGAAGGTTACAGTAAGTTTGTTTCAAATCTCTTCCAACACATAATGTTAAAGCCCTCATTGTCAAACCAAACGGATTTGAAATATATCTGCCATCTGAATTATGACGCTGTAGTATAAAGACTTTTATCGCCAAAAAATGTGCAATGCAAACTGGGTTCAAACAACCCCTCGATGTATTTGTCACCAAACATGGCCAGAGTTAATTACAAAGCCAAAAAGAAAAAAAAAAGTCTTTGATAGACATCATTCAGTGGTTCCAGTCATACAGAGAAACAAACTTAAATGAAAAACAGGAACTTTATGGTGATTCATGTACCAAATTTAGAGCTGCTACTCAAAAAGAGTACAATTAGCAAATGAGACTATGATTGTGGTGTAAAAAAAAAAAAAATCGAAATAATTGGGACAAAATAAGTATGTGGTACTCTTTCCGCGTTTCCATCTGAACTTCAGAGTCCCACTAAGACATGTACACCTTCATAGCTGCTTGAGGAAGGACATAATGTCGAAAATAAACCAAAAAAATATTTAATTCGCTTATTTTGCCAAGTACAATGTTACCTGTTCAATGTTACAGTGAAAAAATAAACATCTGTTGGAAAGTACAAATTGATGAAAAGGAACCTATTTTAGTTACTGCATTTCATGTAAAGTAAGGCATGGGCGGGCATGACTCGTGAAAAGAATAAGGTAATGTAAAATGGATTAAGGACACTGGGGACAGATTTATAGATTTAGGGACAGCATCTATCAAGCCTGATGCAAATAATGTTTTCTGGTTCCTCAACACGTCTGACAAATCCAGAGGCTTGACAGTGCTTATACCCAAACAAATACCCTCAATACTAAGAAACTGTATTAAAAAATAAAATGCATATAAAACATCTGGATTTTCTTCAAGTTTTTTGTTCTTTTCAAAATCTTCTTGTAACGCACCCCAAAAACGAACAATGGGATATAAACTATTTCCATGTTGTTCTCAATGCTTACATCTGGTCTGGATATTTAAAAACACCTGGCAGATGGTGCCAAGTATTACCTCCTCCTTAGATTTATCAAATTATGTACACAAAGCTCCTGCCAACACAACAAGTTAGATCAAAGTGTAGTCATATTTCTTGGCAGACGAGAAATGTGTAAATAAAATTCATAGCGAGGCCACAATACTGATAAATCGAGTGGCTTCGTATTGTTATACTGTACTGAAACTAAACTATGAATGAAGAGCTTGCTTTAAACTGCCAGATTTATAATTACCATTACATAACAGAGGGAAATACAATCATTTGATGACTACAAAACAGTTCAATCACAGCCTAAAATTCATTTAAAAAAAATGTTTTCCCCTGAACATTGAGAAACTCCCGCAGGCTTGTGTTTGGTAATGGAAACTAAAAATCTTGGAATGGCATGAAATATTCACCTAATCTGAAAAACAGAAGCAACACAGCATCCCTTTACATACCATCACTGGAACCTAAACGATCCAACTGATAATAGATTGTGGAGCTTTTCAAGTAGTTCCAAAAACCAAAACAGGAAAAAAAATAAAAAAAATCACTTAAATAACATGCTTACAAGGGTCTTCAAAACCAAAGACTGTGATGAATATCAAAGCTTTCGACTGATTCTAAGGCCAGTACTAATAATAACCACTTCCTCCCCGAATTAACTTGGAGTTTGGTTGGTTTTACAGTGTGCTCTGTTAAGGGCTTACAGAAAGCTGTAAGATGAACACTGCAATCTACGAATTGGACAGTTTGTCTGTGTTTGTAATATTCAGGCCCGCTCCCTTGTTGTGTAGTTGTTGATTTGTACTGCGACTGGTAGCCACGGAAATCGATTTAAATAAACCTAGTTTCCAGAGATGGCCACACTGTACCTGTATGCATGATATACTGAATCCCCATGGTTTACACACATTACATCCAGCAGTGAGACAAAGAGCTAAAGAAGATGGCTGCCATGAGGGCTCACAACATTGGTTTCTACAAGCCAAGCCACTGGCACGCATGATGCCAGGTCATTTCCTTTTGCTGGTGTGGTTTCGGTCTGTTAGATGTCCATTTCAAACTGAGCATCATCGCCTTGAGAGCAAAAACAAAAGAAAAAAGGACAAGAAGGTATTTAGACATATTTGGAACAGGCTGGAGTAATATGTTATTATGGTGGTTGCGATGTGGAATGATGACAATACAACCAACCAAACAGTACGTAAATCAGAACTCTTACCGGTTGTGGGTTTGCCATCATGGTTGTTGATGTGGTTGTTAGCTTCATTCTTCTGGTTCTCACTCAGGACATGTTGGCTGGTCACTCCAGGGATGACAGGCAGGTGAGCCGGGGGAGTCTGGGCTATGGGGGAATTACGCCTGTCCAGCAGGAACTTACGGTCATAGATGATCCGGGTTCCTGCAAGAGGACACGTCAAGATTCTGTCAATCAAATGTGTTGTGACTCGATAGGTTGGCCTTTTTCTGGACGGCTCAGATTCAAGACACCATGTCTACAAGCAGTTACTCGTCTTATAACAAGTGCTCTTTAGCGACACACGTTCATCTCCCAGCTTCAGTTTATGACAATTAAAAACAAGAAGATGGCAATTAAATTTCCAAACCAAAACAGCAGAAACTTGAACCAGCCACTGTTTAGTTTTTGCATTTGATCCATCCATCCGTCCATTATCTATACACCGCTTAATCCTCACTCGTGGGGGGGCTGGAGTCTATCCCAGCTGACTTAGGGCGAAGGCAGGGGACACCCTGGACAGGTCACCAGTCTATCACAGGACTACACTTACAGACAGAAAACCAAGCACACTCACATTCACACCTACGGACAATTTAGAATCACCAATTAACCTCAACATGTTTTTGGACCTTGTGGGAGGAAGCCGGAGAACCCGGAGAGAGAACCCACGCTGCACGGGGAGAACATGCAAACTCCACACAGAAGGATTCCGGTGGCCCCACCGGGACGCGAACCGGCGACCTTCTTGCTGCGAGGCAACACTGCTAGCCAACTGCGCCATCTTGCAGCCCCTGCATTTGATCCTTCCTACTCTATTTACATGGACGCCAAGTGATCTGTGTGATTGATCAACCTGATAATCATGTTTGCTTTAATGCAACAGTTCCCCAATTTGTTTTTGGTGATGCCCACCATCAGAAAGCACAAACATTTTTATGTTTCTTTCCACACATATCTCCCATTAGGTTCTGTTTTGAAAAGGTTGAATACTTCTCAAACTGCCAGAATTTAGACGCCCCATAAACACAAGACTCTCCTCCTGAGTAAAAAGTTAACAGCTTTTTCTTTTAAAATCTGTCCATCTTCAACTTTTTTGATGCTTTATGAATAAAAGTGGTAAACCTACATCTTGACAGCCATGTTGACATGAGGTAAATTCTAATTTATACTTCTTAAACGATTCACTATATGTACAGCAGACATTTTGACTCGTCAAGACAGGAAAACACTAGTAGAACTAAAAACTACAAAAAGGTCTCCCTTCCGGTGATTATATTGTCACAGTTAATTTTATCAGCAACACCTGTATCGAGAATGTTTGCTCTAAAGAAGGTCAACTTCAGTTTCACTTCATATTTTTTTTCTGGTTATGTGCAAATTGCTCTACAGCCCCCAGAAACCACAGCTATAAATAATACGAATCTAAACAGTCTCTAACAAAACATTGTTGTGAAACCTGGCAGATTAACAACCAGTCACACCTCGAGGCAAGTAAATCTCTGGTTGTTAGTGGACATGTGATTTCAGGGTGACAATATGAAGAGATCATTTGCAAAAACAGGTAGCTCCATTTATGTACATTTTCAGAAAACTTTTTTCTTTGTTGTTTGCTTGAGATAATATCAATCAAACTGAAGTTGAGTGGATCTGACTCAGTAGAAATGACAAAAACAGAGATAACTTAAGTTTGATTGATATTGTCTCAGGTAGACGATGGAAAAGTGGGTTTTCTGAAGGTTTGTGAAGATGGAGTTCTCTATTTTTGCAAATGAACTCTTCATATACACACCAGAGACTTACGGCTCAGGTTAGAGTTAAAACTGAAGAAGCCTCTTGGATGAGATTTGTCACATCTTTAAGAACTAAACAGAGACGTTCAGCTGCCTTCTAAGTTTATAGGATTTCTATTAAACGGATGACTGAGAATCTGACGCATCTCAGAGAAAACACATAATTGAAGTGGAGCCGACATGAAATTTGTTTGATTTCACATCTTTTGTTGTTGGGAGCTGTAGAAAATCAAGACGCCTGAAGATGTCTCCGTGGGTTGTGGGAAACTGTGGTGGACAATTTTACTACTTTCTGACATTTTATAGGCTAAATGATTCACTGATAATGAAAGTAAAACTAAATATGCGTTGGTAGGAAGAGTCATTCCTATGAGTTAAAACAGGACAGACTACTCACATTCCTGCTGTGCCACGTACAGAATAAATACATATTTATTGTACTTCCTCAGTGGGAAGGGCTTTGCATTTACTGTAATGTATCATGTGTGTTGGCTGTGCTGCATCAATATGTTACATAGCTGATGCACAACATTTGCTTTAAGTTGTCTAGTTCCTTAGATTAGCCAATAAAACACTGTCACCTGCTATAAACACAGTAGCAGGTAAGAATCAGAATCTCTGCGCCGCAAACCAGCCAATCAGGCAGCAGCTGGAGACCACAGGGGGCGGGTCTAAGCTTTGTTTTTGTTTTGATCAGGATGACAAGGCAGCATAGGCCACACTGACAGCAGCAGTTAAAGGTTAGCTGAGAGCACAAGCGCCACCAAACAGCTAATTGCCCCCCCGCCATTTTCTGCAAAATGACACCCAAACACACGGGATATTGCTTTACCTCCGGGAGTGGTAGAAAATAAAGTGCCTCCAGGGGTGGTACAATAGTCATGAGGTAGCTGCGTTGTGTCGTTGATCAACACCGTCCTGGTCGGGATGGCCCTGCTCTCGCTAAGCTGACGACTGGTCGACATTTTCAGCGCCGATTCGGTGACAAATCCAGCAGCTACAGAAAATTTGGGGTGTTTATTTCCCGACGGACGGTGGAAACCCGGGCCGTTCCCCGCTCTCTTTTATCTTCCCAAAGGCTTTCTCGTCTCTCCTTTCGTCCTCCCAGCCGTCAGCACCGTCCCCTCCCTCAGCAAAGGCAGGAAGCACGACAGGCTGCGGGAGGATGTGAAGTCAGCGGCGGGCAGCGTCACCACGGTGCCAGCCTCCTGATTTGTTTTTTAAATGTTAATTTTTTTTTTAAATATGTAATTTTGGAAACATACATTTACATACACTTATTTAGAGAGTCTGTCATCTGAAAATAGAACTAATTTAGATACGTAAAAATTAAACATTTAAAAATAAAAAATAAAAAAAAATTCCCAACACACCTTAAACACTGGACATGAACCATCTTAAATCTAAACTGCCAAAAAGCAGTGAAAAAAAAACCTGTGAAACTATACCATCAATGGTGCCTGAAAAAATACAATAAAAAAAAACGATTAAATACTGTAAAGCGCAAATACTGCAGAAACTATGAAATAATGTCAAATGTCTGGTAAATAATGGGATTTTTTTCCCCTTTTTTACTAGATATTGTTTTTTAAAAATCTGTGAAATATCCATTTTAAAATAATGTAACATTTAATATACATATATTTTTTTTATTTTCATGTATGGCTAATATTAGTAAAATAATTCCAAAATACATTAAACAATAAAACAAACAGACAAACAAAAAAAGAATAGACGAATTTTACTTGTTTGTTTTTAGGATTAGCATGTAAATGAACAATGTTTTTTTTCCACCCTGTGGTTATAACAGTTATTCAACATAATAAATTAAATTCAGTTAAATTGCTGTAAAGTTAAATTTACAATAACAACAACAACAACCCCCCCCCAAAACAAACAAACAAACAAATAAACAAACAAACAACAAAAAAACACATTTTACTGTGTAGGATTATTTTTGTCATTGTATGTACTTCTTTCTCTCTTTACTATAACTCAAACAGTTAGCTAGCACCACATCTTGCATTTTATATGAAACTTTAACACCTTATCACACTCAGAGGTTATTTAAAGTGCTTTATAGGCACATGTCAAAATGTAAACATGTCAAAGATAGAATGCAGAATAAAATAATTAGATTAACCAACTGAAAAACAGTACAGATACAATGAATACAGTGTATTTCATAAAATAATTAAAGGCTGAGTTTGAGCAAATCTGAGGGGAACTGGTTCCAGCAGCAGGCAGCATAATGACAAAACATGATTTTCCTGAGAGACCGTCCAGGCTTTTACTCACTAAACATATCTCTGCTATATTTTGGACCCAGACTACTCACAGACTGATTAACAATAATTATGGCCTAAATTCAATCTATATTTTACTGGAAGCCAGTGCAAGGATCTGAGAATTGGAGTAATGACTTTAGACTGTTTTTATAAGGTTGTCCCAGACCTCCTCAGCTCTCTGGGCACATCCAGAAATCTGCTCCCTTTGGCACAGAAATATGATAGAAAGTGACATTTTACAATTGCAACCAATAGATTTCATACCTTAAGCAACAATGTGCAAGAATGACTTCAAGACAAGCCTATGATCCAGATTTTCTAATCTACAGCTTAAAGTCCATCCATCCATTATCTATACACCACTTAATCCTCACTTGGGTCGCGGGGGGGCTGGAGTCTATCCCAGCTGACTTAGGGCGAAGGCAGGGGACACCCTGGACAGGTCACCAGTCTATCACAGGGCTGCACTTAGAGACAGAAAACCAAGCACACTCACATTCACACCTACGTACAATTTAGAATCACCAATTAACCTCAACATGTTTTTGGACTGTGTGGGAGCAGCTTAAAGTCTTTCAGCTTAATCTGAAATTTGCCCAAAGAAGCTCAAGACTGTTTGATGCACACACTGTACCTTTGAACCTTTTTGTTAATTATTCAGGCAGTTCCTTTATTTGTGTGTGATGGCTCAGAATATCAGGAACATTCTGTAACTCATTTCTTGTCAGAGGGCAGTTGGATAAGGCAGCAAAATACAAAGGATAAACTCTAGTGAGCTGGGATTTTGGATTTAAAGTAGCTCTTGTCAAGCTCGTTGGTCCAAATTCTCTAATATGTGTTCAAGTGGGATGAGATCTGGTGACTTTGAAAGCCAGAGGATATGATTTATACGATTTAGATCAATGCATTCATTGAGACCTTGTGGCTTATGGATGGAGAGATTGACATCCTGGAAGAGACCTTCAGTATAGAAATGTTTATTCACAACATAAAGGTGATCGCTCAAAACAACTTTGATTTTTAGTGACAATTCATCATAAGGTGACAAGTGAACCCAAGTCATGCTAGCAAAATGCACCAACTTCTCTCTGTGTAGGGATCAAGGTTTCAGGTTTTAATTCATCACCTGTCAGTGTTTCATTGAAGACACTGTTTTGCTTTTTTTTTTTTTCTTCCACTCTACTTAACTCAGCATGACATGCAATCAAAATGTTTTTTCAGTTGGAAGTAAAGTTCTAAGGGTCGTCATGCATCTTTCATTGCATTCCTTTATTTAACATCAAATATCAAATGACAGCGCGAATGCAAATGAATGCCAACTCCACTGTCTGATGCTACTTGTTTCAGTGAAGCATAACATGTTACTCTCCCTTCTTGTGTTCAGCTTTGCTATCTGGGTGCTTTCCTGTTCTGGTCATTGCCGCCCTGAGGCCCAGTTCCACTCTCCTTCTCCTCCTCCCTCCCTTTTGCACTTTAGGCTACCCTCAAGATCATGTGTTTACTTGCACACAGTGATCCAATTATTGCAAATAACCAGATTATAATGGTCGTTTGATTAAAGTATTTACGAAGCAGCATCCAGATTCCAGAAATACTAGTATCCAGAAGTTTACACAATTTGTTTGGTAATAGTCTGTGCAGGATTTGTGACAGTCTGCAGAAAACAAATAATGAAATTTGGAAAAACAGGGAAAATTTGTTAAACTTCATTGCTTGCAGACAGGTATCATATTTAAGTCAGTGCCTCAGTGGTAAACACTTTTACCAACTTGCCTAGGATTTGTATAATATATATTTTATAATGCCTTTTTTTTTTTCAATTACTCTTTATTTTTTATTGTAACCTTTTATTGTTTTTTTAGTTTGTTTTTTTGCTGCTGTTTTTTGTGAAGCAGTTTGTAACTTTGATTTTGAAAGGTGCTATATAAATATAGTTTATTGTTATTTTCGTTATTATATTTTAGTAATGGCATTTCTCTTCTTCTACAGGCTTTGATACTACTTGTATTTTATGCACAATGCAGACTACCCCTCATAAGCCACTTTTACAGTTTACCCCATGTGAAGTCATCTCCATTGCTTTCTGTTCATATTCATATTTCCGATAGCTACTGAAGGCATCGCTGCCCTAGTGCGCATGCGCTTTGCCCTTTGCGACAGCCCTCCACTCAGGCCGGACGTCTTATTCCGCCGCCATCCTCCATCCCAGAAGCCGACAGCCACACAAACCTGCAGCTAAACATGAACTTCACCGTGGAAGAGAGGGGAAACCCGAACTCCCTGAGCTACCGCTTGTTCTTCAGTAAGTAAAAAACGAGCAGAAACAATGAAGTTTTGTGTTTTGTTGGCTACTTTGGGGACTCTCCGCAAAACACGGCGGGCCAGAGCCGCAACCTCCCTCCCACGTGTCACTTATTCATTCCTGCTGGTTTGTTTCATTCAGTCAGTATTAGCGGTGATAAATGACCCTGCAGTGAAATAACGAACAAAACGTCCCTTTGTTTGGATGTTCTTGTGGGTTACTTTCGGTTCATTGAAGTTGCATCAGCCAGTTGTGCCGGTTTTACTCTGCAGCGCTGGTTAATGTGCACTGACTTGCTTATTGTCGACCTCATGTCTGTATTATTGGCAAGACTTACTAGAAGGAAGTTGTTTACTTCGGGAAATCACGTAAGGCGTTATCTGGCGTTGAAATCATGAAACCTCAACGGTGCTGGGACAACGCCCTCATTGATTATGTGTTAAATCAGTCTGTTGCTGTTACCTGTTGGACAAAATGTTCAGGCAGGTTACTGATTCAAAACATGTTCCATTTTTACAGATTCCTAGTGTAGCTCCCTCACAGTTTACAGATTTAAAGATCATTTTTAGGTCAAGTCCCAGATCTGTTAGAGTAGCTTTAAATCACTGGACTTCATAATCAAAGTGTAACCCTGGATGCACTCCATGACTATTACATGAATAACATGTGGGCAAAATAATCCCAAGTTAGCTGTTCAGAGTAGCTTTTGTAAGCAGTAGGCTCTTAACTGAAAGTTAACCTGGCACCACCTCCTCTATGATGTGCCCTGACTGGTTAATGAACAATAAATAGTTTCCTGTAATCGTTGCTGTACAATCCAAAATAGATCAAGGTGTATCTGTGAGGTGCTTCTTTGACAACAACTGAAAGCAAGAATGACTGTCCCCTGATGAAGGTGTAGACGGAAGACCGATTTAAAAAATAGCATAGTTTAATTTCTTTTTTACTGTCTTCCAGAAAATGCTGAAGAAAAATACATCTCACCATTCCATGACATCCCAATGTACGCTGATGAGAGTCAGGTAAGGAAGCAGTGCCACCTGTACCTCGTTTAAAATGCAAATGCGTGTGCATAATTTAAATCTACCCTCTGGTTAAATCCAACCTGCAGGGCTGCCATGCATTTGTAGTTTTGTAGCTGTAGTATCTCTATGATGTTGGTGCGGTACTGCTTTATGTAATACTCTCCAGGGTAGCAAGGTCAGTCTATTTGCAAAGCAGTGGCCTTTACTCTCTATTTCCTCAGTACTATGTCAACACCTCTTGTGATTGCAGTAGACTGTCGTTCTGAAACTGTTATTTGTGTTTCCACTAAAGCAATATGAGTTAGCATGAAGCATATTAGATACTATTCTATTATTAAAAAATAATAATTATGTGTACATATATATATAAAGATGACAGTTAGGTCCTAAGATAGCATTTTAAAGTCATTAAGTCATTCTACTCTCCTACAGAACATCTTTCACATGGTTGTTGAAGTACCAAGATGGACAAATGCAAAGATGGAGGTAAGACTTTTATTTGTAAATGTCTACTATCAGCTTTGGATGTGATTTTAGCTGCTTTGGCTTTACGTTAGTGTATTTATTAGCAGCTTTTATATGGCCAAGACTTGCATGATGTTTTCACCCTCTAAAAATAATTATGTGTAATTAGTAGTCAGCGGATGTATATTTTTTTAAAGAAACAATTTATAAACAATCAAAATGAGTTACAAAATTACTGAATGTAAATGAACATTAATTTAACACTGTTATAGTGCACATTATTTGTTCAAAGCAGGAGTAGGAAGTGTATTTGGGCATCATTAGGCAACATTTCGACACTAACTTTCCAGCACATTGTAATTTAAGTGTTCTGGGAAGAAGCTAAGGTTCTGCAGCTCCTCTTAACTTTGTTTTCAGGCCTTAGAAAATGTTGTACCTGACAGAAGATTTTAACCAATCAGGGGGCTTGTCCCTGAGCAGATTAGATAATATTAACAGGTGGTAAAGTCCGCTATGAGATCAGGATGTGGTGTTGCGATAGGTTAGAATGAGGACTTTAGCTTGGGAAGTTTGGGGTTTAAATCTCACATGAAGCCACAAAATAATGCTGCTTTTAGCACATTATCATGTAGTGGGAGGGGCCTTAGAGGGAAGAGCCGACATTTGCAGCTGTAGGTTTTCATATTCAGTTGTTTGTTTCTCAGACTTTTCTAGATTTCTGCCTATTGCAGTTTAAACTAGATCTGCAGAGCACTTGTTTCAAGTAAGAAATGTATTTGCTAAGGAAATACTTGCAGGATTTTTTTTTAAAGGGAATTTTACTCATACATGAATTATAAATATGTGTCATTGTGTCTTTAATGGTAACAATTCACTTTTTCCAGATAGCAACAAAAGACCTCTTGAACCCAATTAAGCAAGATGTAAAGAAGGGCAAGTTGCGGTATGTTGCCAATGTTTTCCCGCATAAGGGCTACATATGGAACTATGGAGCCATTCCCCAGGTCAGTGTTCTGTGTGAAAGATTTGTGATAACAGTGTGTTCTACTAAAATCTGTGATAGTAGTTTTTCATAATTCTGCTTTCGTGTTGCAGACATGGGAGGATCCAGCACATAAAGATGGAGACACCGGCTGCTGTGGTGACAATGATCCCATTGATGTCTGTGAAATCGGCAGTAAGGTCAGGGGCTGATGATGTCACAGTCTTGAGTATATGTCTTTGGTGTTACAGAAAGAGTCGCAGTGATGCATGGTATTATAGTTTATACGCTTTCCTTGTCATGGAAAATGGATAGCACTGTCCATGCATTCCATGAATACTGAGAAGTGAACCACCACCTGAAATGTCCTCTCTAGGTGTGCTCCCGTGGCGAGGTAATCAAAGTAAAGGCACTCGGTGTCCTGGCCATGATTGATGAGGGCGAGACTGATTGGAAAGTTATTGCAATCAATGTAGAGGACCCCGAAGCCAGCAACTTTAACAGTAAGTGCCTCCGTTGACTTAAGCCCACTTTTTTCTCTCTTGTGGTTTGTCTGCAGTGCCGCATTAGTCACATCCTTAACTTGTTTTCTTGTCCCTGTCAATGTCCAGACATCAGTGATGTCCAGCGCCTGAAACCTGGTTATCTGGAGGCCACCATCGACTGGTTCAGGAGGTACAAAGTGCCAGACGGGAAACCAGAGAACCGGTTCGCCTTCAATGACGAGTTCAAAGACAAGGTCTGTAGTTGACACACCTCATTCAGTCATTATTTTGGCTTTGGCAAATGGATTTAATATTTCTCATGTTGCAATGTCAGATGTTAACATTATATGTAGCAGAAGTTTCAAATAATGAGATAAACATATGTAAAAGTAATCCCTGTGTGTAGTTCAGGCTCCAGGTGGCACTGAGTAAAAGGTTTCCATCTTTCTCTTTTACTTTGGCAACAAACTGATGTGAGTTTGTCACAGATTTCTTTGTGTGCTCATCTACTCCAAGCATTGCAAGCCCACAAAGTCAAACTACCGTCTCCTAGATAAATACATGGACATGCGTTTGCAAAACAGTCTACTTAAGTAGTATAATTTGCATTTAATGTACCCAAGTGTACAAATAACCAACAATGCAGAGAGATACAGTGTGCAGAATACATTTTTACTTAATGCGTTAACCTTTGGTGTTTCCTTCACTTCTATCGGCATTGCAGCTCACACACACTTCTAACAGGGAATACATAGAATACATGAATACATTTTTTATATGTCTTTGGAGTAAATTAATTGTGTCACACAATAGGCAAGCGTGGAGTGTAGCATTTGTCAATGGAGAAATCCTGCTGTAATCTTTGTTACTGCAGAAGTTGTTGCTGTCTACTCTCATATTTTAAATCAGATTTGTGTTTCAACCTGTACGGATGGATATGAGACACTGCCATGTAAAATCAAGAACTAAAAATGATAGTAGCCGAGGAGCTCCCGGAGTTCCTTGTTGGTTGTCTGGCCAGCATCACCTTTACTGCATGTCACTCTCCTGCTCTCTGTCCCACAATACCTGTCAGTATGAGATAAATAAGGACTGAACTGTGAATCGTGTAGATCTACACGAGTGGAGTTCCAGATGAAAAATATAGAGCTGGAAATGAGCACAATGTTTCTCCTTTAAACACTTTCTTTGCTTTGGTCCTTTTCCAGCTGATGACTTGCAGTAGGAAAATAGGTTTTGAAGGAATTGCAGTTTGTCAAACTTGTCCTTACAAGTTCTGTTGATAACGTGAACTAGAATTACAGTGTAATTAAATGTGAGAACCATACAGTAATTAGTGGTTTGTGTTTCAGGACTTTGCCATTGAAGTAATCAAAAGCACTCACAAGTTCTGGAAAGCCCTCATTTCCCAGGAAACGAATGCTGGTGAACTGAACTGGTAAGCACTGCATTTCTCTTCCTGGTTTGACTTCAGCTACAATTCACTTACTTTAGGAACAGATATACACTCACATTTATTGAAGTTTGGGTTATAAAATACTGTGTTTAACACATATGTCTATATTGTCCAACAAAACAGCAAAAACACGTCTGTCTCAGCCTGTGGCAGCCCGTACTGCTGCTCAGCAGATGAAGCTAAAAAAGCTGTTGGTGAGGTCAGTAAGATTTTGTTTGCCACATTTTGCAAGCAAACATCAGAAATCACACGACAAGGCTTCTTCAGCTGATGTTTCTCTCTATTTTTAGACATGTCCTTGTGGAAAAGAAGAGCCTATCCCCACATCAGGTAGCCCTTCATAAACTAATTATTTCCAGATTGTTGAATCTCTGCTGAAGTCAACTGATGTTGGATGTGAGATTAATTGTCATCTTTCATTTGCAGTTGACCAATGGTTCTACTATGAGAAGAAGTAATCCAGGAGCTACTCTGATTGGAGCAGACGTAAATGGTCAATGGAACCAATAGGATGATGAACCAACGGGGTGACAGGATGGTTGGATGTGGGTCGGCTGTTGTCCTGTAGATGGAGAGATAGGGTTTAATACTGTAGGAAAAGAGAGAAGTCAAAAAGTACATGTCTCGACCAATTTATTTTCACTTATTTAACAAAGATCTCTTTGGAGATATGCTGTCATAAACAATGTACAGGTACAGTGCCTAGTAGATACTTGTGTCCTGTATGAGAATGAACTGCTTTAATAAAGCTTCTCTGGGTTAATGATAATCAGAGTGTGAGTTTATAAGTAGAGCTATGAGTGTTAGAGGTGAGAGGGGGAAAAAAATAAAAAAATATAAACAGTTTTGTCTTAGATTGAACTTTTTGATTGTTATAATGCTGCCACCTAGTGTTCACTGGCCCCCATTGACTTTCTTTTTGCAATCTACTTTGTTGTTGTATGTACTTATTTTAGACTATGATTTTAAAGCCTTAACATGTGATTTGTACAGCAGAAATACACACTGCACAATGAGTCAAGTGCTTTATTTTCCTGTTTCTTGCAAAAGTGATAAATGCTGAAAATGGAAGGTATAATCAAAGTTAATGTGGATTTTTAAAAAAAGGGAAGATAGAAGGAATAATTAAAGAAAAAACTGGCAGATTATTTTTCTAGATTTTTTAAAGGCTGAGTTGTAACATTTAGTTGTATAGGTGCCTTGTTTGTAATGATTTTGCAGCAAAACATAAAGGAAGAAACTCCCTCTGGTCATCAGTTAGTCCCCCCGGAAAACTAATTTCTGTATGTCAAAGCTACATATTTAGAGATTTGTTTTCCCATGAAAAGAATCCCTCCTTCCCTTTAAATGGTTTAGATTAAACTCTACACTGTTGCATTGTAATGCACTAATCTGTGAGGTCCTGTTCCTGTCTACACCACTCCACCACCTGCTGTAGCTCGAGCACACCTGCTCACCTGGGACTTGGATGAAACAATGTAAAAACTACTCCACCTTGCAGTCGAGGAGTAATTCAGTCTTACATGTTGAAACCGAAACTGATTCTGAAGAAGGATGATGATATGGAAAGCTCTGCTCTCTAAATTGACAGGATTGGTGACTCAGGTTTGCTACGTATGAAAAAATTCAATGACCATAAACACACTTTTTGAAAAAGCTTTTAACTTTTAGAATGCCAATGTATTTAATATGAAATAAATATGGCTATGGAGTAATTTCTGAAGAAAGTACATTAATAAAATTAATAATAAAAAAATACCTCTATTTTTGAAAAGAAAATTCAGATGCCTACTGTTATTTACTCCAGCAGAGTTTTTTTTCTTTTTATCTCAAAATACCACATGCATTTGTTTTTTTTAAGGATATATTTCATAGCAATATATTTATGTTTTGATACCGATTTAATAATGAATAAAAGGGCATTCCATAGTAACTATTGTTTTATTAGATACAGAACGAGACAGTACTTTTCTCTTACATTTTCATTGAAATAACTTTGCATGCGTTGGTGCCGTAAAAAATATGACACGTAAAAAAAAAACAAAAAAACCCCAAAAAACTTGTTGTTAAAGATAGGGGCGAGAGATGGTATTGAATCTAAAAACAAACAAACTAATAAACAATTAGACATTAGTGGCACGTGCCCCTCGCACTCCAGTGACGTCATTCCGTTTAACGGCCAGACTCGGACGCTTCACGTCAGTCGACCGGACAGACGCGGACCAAAAACCAACAGACGAGACTCGGTAGCTGAAGGTAAAGCCGCAAGCGATGTGTTCAGTTTACTTTATTCCACTTTTCACACTTTTATTCATTGTTTTCTGCTTGTTGAAATATTTTTTCTGACGTCACGAAGTTATTGCTTTAGTTTGTTTTGCGCGCTCATGTTGTTTACTAAATTTGTCGTTGTTTACTCAATGACAGCTGATGTCGTTACATGTAAATGAGCCGAACTGTGCCAGCAGTCACGAAATCACGAGAACAACAGTTTCTGAGGAGCCTAGTTTTGAATTTAGTGGCCTGTCGTGCCTTCTGGTGTTTTTCGTGTTTATTTTTAATGAAGTATTGAATGGAGAATTGCATGAAAACCTGCTGCTATTTCTAAAATGTAGTTTTTGAGGGTTAACTGAGCAGCATGGCTATAATTGCAAAAGCTTTTAACCCACAGATATAGGAATTAGGTTGTTTATATTGTATGTGAAGTTTGGCGTTTAAAGTAATCAACAATTGGGTAATTTCCGAAACCTTAGACACTGGAGGCCTCAGTGTTCCCTGCAACTTGAAGTTCACAGAGAGTGACAGGTGTTTGTGAGTCACTGAGAGAGTGAGAGAGAAGCCGGGGGTGACCACCCAGATCAAGTGTCCTTGCAACAACCTGTCATAAAAATAGTCAGAGGAAGATCAGCGTGACTGAGCGAGACAGCACTCAGAGCAAACCAGCATCTAAAAGCCACCAAAGATTGCTTGTTGTCTAGCTTCGCTCTTGTGCTTTCGTGCTTTAAAACTTGTGTAATTACACAGAGCTTACACATACCAGCAGTGTAATCCAGGCTCAGGAATAATGATTAACAATGATCCTCAGTGCTGTAATACAGTTTTATTTTGCAATAGTATTTGAAATTCTTGTCATTTGGAAAATGTTTCATTCACTCATTTGAGCGTTTGGGTGAGGAAGCATCTTACAGCTTGACCTAAACACTGACTGATACCTTATTTACGCCACTGTGTTCCTCTGTAATGTGTCGTAATGAGTAATCTCAGTTTTCTGTATTTCAGGCAGTCAAGAGAAATGTCTTTTATATTTGACTGGATCTACAGGGGCTTCAGCAGCGTCTTGCAACTATTAGGTAGGGTATAGTACAGTCTTATCAATACTCTCTAACCTACAGCAGCATAATGTTGTTGCCATGTAAACTGAATTGCCATTTAACTAATAGAATATTTCCTCCATGTGTTGCAAAAACAGTAAAAACTAAAATAGTTGATCTGCCTGTTTTTCAGGATGAATGATTTTCTGTGCCTTTGACCTCACAGGTCACTAACACTATAGGGCTACTGACAAAACACTAATCAGTATCTAAATCAGACTAAACGAAAAAAGCACAAAGCTTTACATTTATGCAGTGTTGTTTACAAATACAGAGAGGTGACAAATTAAAGGAAAAACTTGACTAAATGAGTGGAAAAACACAATGAATGAAGATACTTTCACACAGGAGCACTCTGTGGTACAATTCAGCAAATAAAAACCAATCATGTTATGTGTTACTCACAAGATGCAAAGAGGAAAAGACTTAAGTTGCTTTGATAAACAGTTTATTGTTGAGCAATGATGGCAGGAGTTTCAGTCACAAAGGTTGCTCGGGTGGCTAGTGTGTCAATGACTAAAGTGACATCTGTGGGGAAGACATCAGTAAATAGGGTCAGAAATTGTCAGGAAAAACAGAAGAAGTGTGACTGAGACTATTGATGCATGACGTGATCAGACTGTGTCAGCAAAATCTGTCAGTTTACTATTATGTAAAGAGCATAAATAAGGTTGCGGTGCAGAGCCCTCTTTGCAGCAATTATTTTTATTCAGAGTAAACACCATAGGTACTGCTTTACAAAGATGCGAAAAAATGTAATACAGTCATCTGAGCCATATTTTACCATATTCTTGTCAAGTACACGGCTGTATTTGTTGTAAGCACCAGGAGACTGACACATGCCTGGATGCTTGACTCCTACAGCGAGGGGATCCGGTGGCTCTGTTAGGTTACAGGGGTATTTTGCCAGTATGGTTAGGGCCGACTTGTCCCCTGAGGGAGGAGAATGCACTGCAAATCAATACAAAGTTGCTCGAAGTCAACACCTTTGTCCTATGATGAAACTTTCTATCCTGATGTCACTGATCATAATGACAGTGCTACCATCTATGAGGCACCACCCATGGATAGTGACTTAATGGCTTGATAAGTAACAAAAATATATAAATCACATGCTATGGCCTTTGCAGTCACTAGATTCAAACCTAATTAACAGTATACGAGATTTTAAACTGACGTATTAGAGAGTGCTCTCTACTGGCATCATCAAAACACCAACCGAGGGAACATCCTTGAGAACAATGATGTTGTACCCCTCTAGTCCAGAGACGAGGAGAATCAATGTGCAGGCATATTACCATGCAGTACCCTTACTAAGACACTTTATATTGGTTTTTCCTTAATTTGTTACCCATCTGAAGGGCTGGGTAGATCTCCAAAAAGGACAGCTGGGGATGGCAAATGAAAACTGATACTTTTCCAGGCCAAATACTCATAATTATGCAGATTTCAATTTTGTTTTTGGCTTTATTTTGTTTCTAAAAAAACCATAACAATCGATGCATACTTATGTGTCCTAACAGATTTATGCTAATTTTAATGTTATTCCTACATTTACTTGTGTAACGACAAAGGAAAACTCCTTGGTGTCTGTAAGGACTATGGGAGCTCCCAGTCCTCTTATTCCTACTCATCATCAAACTTTATAGTGATTTTATATTGGATTTGCTTCTATTTGATTTCTTTTCATCATCAGGGTTGTACAAGAAAACCGGCAAGCTGGTCTTCCTCGGACTAGACAATGCTGGAAAAACAACACTCCTCCAGATGCTCAGAGATGATAGGCTGGGACAGCATATGCCAACACTATACCCAAGTACATTCAGAGATTTGACATGTTGTCAGTTCAGTTGTGTTACTTGCTTCATCACTTAACTAAAGTCAGTGCTTCCCATCTGCCCTCAGCGTCTGAGGAGCTGACCATAGCTGGAATGACCTTTACAACATTTGACCTCGGAGGTCATACACAAGGTGGGAGTAAAGAATGTGCCACTGAACCTTACCTTTCTTCTTCTAGAGTTGAATTGATGCATTTGCAGGAGCTTCACATAAATACTGAAATGGTTGTGCTTCCACAGCACGAAGGATCTGGAAGAACTACTTCCCAGCCATAAATGGAATAGTCTACTTGGTAGATTGTGCTGATCATGAGCGACTACAAGAGGCTAAAGTTGAACTAGATGTGAGTTAATTATATTGATTTTACTGAGTATACCATCACAGAACATACTTACTCATTGCCATTGCTTACAGGAATCATCAGTTTGATCAACATATGATCCTTTTTCTTGTGTTTAGGCTCTGTTAACAGATGAAACCATCTCAAACATCCCCGTTCTTATACTGGGGAATAAGATAGATCGCCCAGAGGCCATCAGTGAGGATGCACTCAGAGGAATGTTTGGTCTTCATGGACATACAACTGGAAAGGTAATGAACACATGTGGGATTAAATGCTGTGACTGAAAGCAGAAGCCTGTCAGGTTTTTTGTGCATTTGTACACCATGATTGCATTCATCTGTGTAATTTAAAACAGAAACAAACATATCTGCAGTCGCTGGAGACAATCTCCTTATTCTGCTTTTCAATAAATCAATAAATGCCTGCTTGTCCAAGGACATTTTCACTGCATAAAAACAGTGAAGTGAATCTACTTCACAGGTGTTGCAAGGCCAGAATGCATTATAGAAGAAAAGTGTTGTTGTCCTCACTGCTGTTCAGTAATATTTTACTCCTCAGTTCTTTCTAATTCAAATCAGAGTTGCTGTTTCTGATTTGAATCTCAATAGCCAAGGGCAGGCGTAACATTGTGTAGATCATCACTGGTCTTGGTAAACACAGTGGCAGTGGGGGGGCAATATTCTGTAGAGAAACATTTGGCGCATTTTTCATCATTAGTGTAAATCTTCTTAACCACCTGCTGTTTCGCAGCAAAAGAGAAAAGAGAGCAAATGGATACAGGATGCATCAGTGAGCCATTTGGAAGGCTTGTTTTAAGGCTCCAAGTCAGTGAGTCAGGGGAATTCTTTACAAATATCACGCTATGCTCTACCCTCTGTTGAATATGCAGAAAGTTACAGGTTTAAGATACTGTTTGCACATGTTCACTGTCATTGGAAAAGGATGCTGAAATGACTGAGTTGTGAATGAAAATCTAGGCTTTCACTTGTGTATTTTTGTTTCTTTTCAGGGCACTGTGTCACTGAAGGAGCTGAATTTGAGGCCAATGGAGGTTTTTATGTGTAGCGTGCTGAAGAGACAGGGATATGGAGATGGTTTCCGCTGGCTCTCCCAGTATATTGACTGATTGATGTTCTTTGATTAGCCTTTTGTTAGTTATCTGTGCACACAAAGACCTGTTCCACACAAAACTACCTGCAGTAGAGAGATATTTTATTAAATATACTATATGTAGGACTTTGACTGCCAGTAAGAAATGCGTTTTAAGTAGTTTTTGTATCAGTATACCCTGTATTCTTAATGCGTTCAAAGATATCTGTATGTCATACCAGAGAAGGTCAAAGATAAGTTGTGAATCCTCAGTCTGTATTATTCAGAGTGTGGAGAAAACTATTTTTCAATACTGTAGTTTCTACTTTTACTTAAAGCCTGAAGGAAATTTTGTTCTCCATATAGAACATGCCATCGCTGTGAACCAGTTTCTGACCCAGGTTTATTTTTAGCTGCTGGTGTTGCCTTACAGTGAAGGTCAATTTAGTTGACATTGTGGCCTTGAGTTAGTCTTCTTTGACTTAGGATAAAACATTTTCTCTTGGCAAAGATGGGAATCTTAAACTACCATCAGTTGTTTTCAAGAAGAAAATAGTTTTTTTTTGGAAAGTGCTGCAAAACTTTGGTGCCATGTTTGTTCATGTCAGTACAGTAGCCTTCTACCTCCAAGGATACTGACAGTTCTTTTGATAGCACGTTTTCTGTTTTTTCTCAAATCCATGAAACGTTTACAACTACAGGACAATTATATGAATGTGACCACAAGTGCATTACCTGAGTTTTTGTCATAAGGAGCTTTATTTAAGCATACACTATGTTAAATAATTAAATAACAACGGCACAGCCAGGTGATGTAACAAACTCATACTACTTGTCTGCAGAGAGGATGCAAACCTACCTGTCTCCATGATGGGTAATTGCTGTGAAATGACTTGAGTACTTTGTGATTAGTTGCTGCTCAGAACACGCAGCGATATTATGAGAGTACTTGGGTAGTGCTTAAAAAACTGTGTATGCACAACATATGCATGAAATTACCTTGCAGTATTATATATTGTTTTGTGTATAAGATCTTATTTATATTTTCCAGTAAAACTGGCTTGCCTTATTCTGCATCAAGCATTGATAAAGGTGTAAAAGATACGTCATATTCTTTTTGGACATGATGTGTGAAGTTTTAGCATAATAAATATTTTTGACAATCATTTAAACCCTGGTTGTGTCATTGCTGCTGATTTTTTGTGTTATATTATTGCTTCATAAGGTTGGACATAGAATATGATTATATCATATTAATACATATGGACTATGATCAGTTAAAATGTAAGACGCACCGCCAAGAAAAAACTTCGTACGCATACATCCCAGTTAAATTACAAAAATGAAATCCCCATAATGTTTTACCACCACGAATATCTTGACCTATCCCTCACCTGACAGTTTCACAGCCATTCACACCTCAAAGCACGTTAGTCTTGAGTCCTAGTACACATTAGCCACCAATCTCAGGATGATAATGTATCTGGGATATAACTGGGACTCCTCATGAGTCAGAACTTAAGAAGCCTTTTGGATGACAGGTGAAACATCTTAAATAACCAAAGAAGTCCAGTTGCCTTCTACTATGAAAACTATGAACAAACACACACAACAACACACCATGCAGTCTTTTTTTTTTTTTTTTTTTAACATTAAAGCTTATTGTTTTAGTTATTATTCTGTAAATTGGTTCACAAAACATTCTAGTGTTTATTAAAGTAAGAAAATGGGCCTATATATTTATCAGTGGAAAAAAAGGTACATAAAAACTCTTATGGGACCCACTGTGTAGCGAAACCAGAGCCCCTGTGGAGAGATTTTACAATATTTGCATATTATTATTATATAATTTTTTTTTTTAATGTTTAAGGGCAGTGAGTAAAAAAAGTCACTAGGATCCCGCCTTCTTGTTTTCCATTGGCTAAGAGCATTCGTCAGCTATAATTCTGACCAATCAGGAGGTTAGACGAGACACAACCAGGAAGTTAGAAACGGGCAAAGTTGTCAAAATAGTCTGTGAAGAATTTTGCGATAAAACAAGAGTTTACATTCGTAATAACGCGAACAAGTCTTGCTAGTATGGTTGTTAGTTCCCTTGTCTCACTACAGGTCTGTAGCCGTTTTTAATGCGCAGCTTTTACGACGTTTATTCAGAGTCCTAAGTTCGCTGAACGACGTTATCGCCGTATGGTAGCATGGAGTTACAGGAGGTAGAGAGGTGCTGCTGTGTAGTGAAAGTGTCGGAGGCGTTTTCAGCAAAGAAACCCGTGAGCTGCAGCGGAGTTATCGTCTATCCTCAAACTGGAACTGTCATATGCACCGGCCTCCCGTTTTCACGCTTCATTACCGACAGAGAGCTCCTCTCCTCGGACCGCGGGTTTTTGTCACCGCACAGCTTCAGCGACAAACTTAAAATCCGCGTCAGCTTTTCCACTCAACGGCACTTGGACACCAACCAGAGCTCACACGGTGAAGCATTCACACGCCCCAGAAGCAAGACAGCACGACAACGGGAAGCTGCGGCCGAGTTGCTGATGGTGGTGAACTGTGTGGAGTTCAAACAGGCTTTCCAGGCAGTGTTCCAAGAGGCTGACCAGTGGCGTTTCCATGGTGATGAAGAGGATGAAGAGCTGCTCAGAGATGCTCAGTTCCTCAGCTGGTTCGCTGTACTCAAGGCGGGCGCAGTGGTGGACAGCAGCTCAGATTCAGGGACCGTCCCCTGGCAGAGCAGCTCCTCTCTGCAGAAAGGCTGCCCAGTTGTTGCATGCGGCTCACCTTTTGGCTCCCTCTGCTTAGATCTCTTCATCAGCACCCTCAGCAGAGGTATCATCAGTAACCTTGCCGGAGAGGACAACGCTGTCATCCTCACAGATGCCCGCTGCTTGCCAGGCACAGAAGGTGGAGGGTTGTTTGTGGTGCAAGGCTCAGACGATGTGCGTCTCATCGGGCTGATCGTGTCTCCGTTTGGCTGGAAGGCCAATGAGTGGATAGGCCTCACTCTGGTCTGCTCAGTCCACTCGATCTTCAGGAATGTGACGATGAGCGCACAAGATCCACTCCGAGATGTTTGGCTTCAACAGGGGGAAGCAGGCCTTCACATGTCCACCACAGCTCAAGAGTCAAAAGCTGTTAAATACCCCACTGTGTGCTTTGTGGACAGTGGACAGTTCTGGGGCTCCGGGGTTGTCGTCACTTCCCAGCTGGTTGTGACTTGCAGACATGTTGTCAATGGGAAGTCTACAGTCACCCTCAAGTTCCATAACAGGGACAGGTGATGGCACATTTATTATAGTAAAAGCCCTTCAGGTGTGGGCTGTCAGGTTCTGCCCAGACATATCCTGTGTACATTAAGGGATGTAATTTGAAGGCAAAATTAATCCAAATCTTTTAGATACTGAAATATGTTAACCAACCTTTAACATCATCTTAACACTCAAGCAAAAACCCCTGTGGAACCAACAACATTAGCAAAGGCTTTGTCCTGTGTACGTGTCTCAGTAAGTCATGCTATGAGCATATTATATTTTAGTATATAATCAGTTTAACCTGGGCTGCAAGGTGGCTCAGTGCTTAGCATCGTCGCCTCAAAGCTAGAAGGTCCTTACCCTGAGTCGACTGGGATAGGCTCCAGCCCCTGTGACCCTCATGAGGATTAAGCGGTGTATAGATAATGGATGGAAGGATCAGTTAAACCTGTTTTATCTACTGTTATGTCAAAGGGGTTTGAGATATTTGCTGTAAACCTCAAACGGTCATTCATTTGCATTTAGTTTGTGTTTCTTGAAACCCTTGAAACTGTTAAGTATAAACCTCAGTAGCATTCTCCACAGTTTTTTCCACTTATTTTTCTTGATAGGACCTCTTCTAAGGACTGTAAATAGGTGCATTTTTTTCAATAACATCTTCTCGTGGACCTACACCATATATTTTATACTCCATATGTATTCGTAATTCTGATATTATTACTACAACCTCCACCTGAGTGGAGGCTTAATCAGCCAGAATAACTCAAAACACCTGTGTCAGTTCAGGGCCTTTTAGCAAGCCTCTGATCACAGTTTTGCAACAAAGAAAAGTCACCAGCACCGTAATTTTAAGAAAATATTATTTTAATCAGTTATAATTGGGGCTTCGTTTACTCAAGCATAATAGGCAATTTTTGTTTGTCAAAAGGCCCAAAATAAAAGGAGAATGCATTGATATCTGTTACATGAGGTAACAAACTTGTTGCCTTTACTGTAGATGGACTGTTTATGCTTATTGCCTTACATAGTCACCCTCCCAAAGACCTATCGTGAGCCAGGAGAAACCCTGAATGGTAAAGAATATGTAGGCCTAACGTTTCCTCTTTGTTTTGCTGATTTCAGGGTCCATAATATCGTAGGCGACGTCCTGTTTTCCACTAAAGCGTCTTCACCTTATGATCTGGCTTTGGTTCAGCTAAGAGACCCCATCCCAGAGGCAGCGGTCCCGCGAATGTCACAGACTTTTACTCCAGGTTTGACTTCAGTCTCGTTTAGTGGAAACAGTTGAATAATTTGTTTAGAGTAACATCTCATATAATTTTCAGTGCCATAGTAGAGCTATGTGTCTTTACACTAAAAAAAAAAAAAACTGCCATGAGATTCATGTTCAGCTTGGTTTGTCTGCCTTCAGGTGAATCTGTGGTTGTGGTGGGATATGGTGGGCTGGGTCGGAGCTGTGGTCCGTCCCTGACCTGTGGTGTCCTGTCCAAAACCATTAGCTGGAATTACAAGCCCATCATGCTCCAGACCACTTGTGCAGTACAAGCAGGGACCAGCGGAGGTGCTGTGGTGCAGAAACACTCAGGAGAGCTGCTGGGTAAGGACGCCTTCATCTACAAAACCATGTACTCCCTTTGAACAGCGGGGGGCACATGATGACCACAGAAAACTGCACTGTAGTCTATGTGTAGAGGAAGAGCAGCTGAAGACATCAGATTGCTCCAACTGCACTGGTATATTTACAGTTTTATGAAAGAATAATGCTTAGTTGCTGTTGTGCAGGTATCGTGTCCAGCAACACAAGGGACTTGGCTGCTAGAGTGACCTACCCACACCTCAACTTCAGCATCCCAGTGGCTGTTTTCCAGAAACTGTTGCAGCGCTTTCACCAGACAAGGGATGTAAATGTCTTCAGGGTGCTGGACACCACAGACAAAGAAGTCAGAAGAGTGTGGAGGCTGCAAGTTGCTCAAAACAAACTATGACAGTGTACTCCTGCACTTTATAGATACGCTTGAGAAAAATATGACATTAATTATAAATGGATTATGGCCAGATTATATTAGATCATCAAACTGACATTATGAGTATTTTTTTTTTTAAATAACAAAGCAAGTATTTTCAAATACATGACACATATTTCACACCTCAATCTGTTACAAACAGGCACAATGTTGTAGATCTGAAGGAGTAAAAGCTACTAAAACGTCATCCTGGAATCATGCAGTACGCTGTGAATTATTTAAAAGACCACTTAATGCTAACAGCCAAGTTGAAATTACATTAATAATTGTTTTTGTTTTTCTAATTGTATTGTAGTATAATTAAATTAAATGTTTATTTCGGTAACACTGAGTGTATGTTTGGTATATTGCTGTACACAGTTCTCACAAATAACGCACATTATAACAACTGAAACACCAAAAGAACATAAATAGAGGTGGAAGACTATATTAAGTCATGTTTATTCAAAGTCATAAAGCGTTAGATAAAGTGATGGTATAAAAATGCAGATGAAGTTTCACATCTAACATCTGATCTCTAATTATTTTACAGCTACAGCATCAAAGAAAGACACTTTTTTTTTTTCCTGGAAACTTCTTAGGATGTACACCTGGTTCTGGTACATATGGGTTGTTTTTTTCCAAGCAGGAGGAAGATTCAGCATAATAAGCTGACAGGCTGCTGAAAAGAAAATGATTGGTCCCTTTGGGTAGCTGGAGGACTGCTGTCGGTATCAGGTATTCAAACATCTGTTGGCAGGCATACCCACTCACAGCTAACACATTTGAGGTTTCACCCACTGGGACATTACTGGTACTGATTTCCATTATCACAGAAATGTGAAACTGAGAAATGTCATTTCAGAGGATTGGTTACTGTCAATTTTTACAATGCTAAGACAAGCTTTCTCCGCCTAAACTCCCGAGGATGTGCATACACTGTAACATACAGGAAGGTTTCTATTTCACCATTCCCAGACTGAATAGTTCACAGTGGAGAGGCTTGAGCAATGTCCCGAGGAGGCTGAGGAGAGAGTTTTCTATAGGTATTGTGCTGTTAGAAGTGCTGATATGCAGACCTGGCTCTGTATCTCATTTCTGCTGCCTTCCCATAGCTATAAGCTACACTTGGCTGCCGAATGCAAGCGTAGAAGTGAGCTGACAGTAACATCTGCTCCTCAGAGAAAAGGTCACACACAGAGGAGATTGATGAGTTTAAAACAGAGGCTTTTAAAATGTGCAGCAGAAGTGTGCGCCATAAAATCTTCTTTATAATGTTGGTTGATATTCAAGGTGGTTTAATGTTTTTCTTAAGCTGACTGCTGAAAATGACTATTACTTTTATTTAAGACCTGTCAAACTATAAAACTGCACTTGTAGAACATCTATATTTTGTAGACAAAACTCTGACCTACTTGTTGTCCATGAACCAGTCACAGAAATTGCTTTAGGGATTTATTATTTTTTTTGCAAAGGTGACCGTGGTGCAGTGATGATGGAAGATGTGGTAATTAGAGGATGGCCAATAGCGATAACAACAAGGCTGATATTGTCTGATATTTTTAGCTTATCACGAACATATTGGGATACATGTTGGCCAGGATGTAACAAAAATAATTGTGCAGATCACAAACAGAGCCTCATGGAATATTGTTTGCCTGACAAAAACAAAAATGCCTGTCTTAAGTTGACTTAGGTGAGGCACCGTCTACGTCATTTACAAATGAACCTTTTCTCTCACATGTTGATATATTTCAGTCTCAACATGTTCTCTCTTTATAGCTGCATGTTGTTTTCACATTCCGACTTAAAAGAACAAACTAAAGTCAGAAGAACGATTTCCCACCTTCGGACATGGGATCTTCTGTGGAGGATCTGTGCGATTAAAACGTAAATATTGAAATAGGTGTTCGAAATCCACATTTGATTAGACTTTAATGGGTGCGCTCTGTAAGTGTAGGCCTCCATTTCTCGAGTGATTTGACATGTAATGCTTACTTACAAGACTACCTATGTAGGCGGCTATCACCACCGCTTGTCGATCATGACAGTGCTAAACTTGGACACAGAATGAAAAGAGAAAGAGCACAGCCTCAGATGTACGGTGGCCGACTGGGCCACATAGATAAGTTTATTTTATTTTTTTTTAATAAACACAATAATTGATCCACATTATGATACGATGTACACTTGTCAACTAAGCAGTATATTCTGCTCGTCTTTCAAGGCATTGATTACGGGACTAATAGGTGACATTCTGTCTTCTGATACACACAGTATATACAAGCTAAAGAGTGATGCGTGAGAAACTTTTTCTTAATAGGTCATGAATGAGACAGAGCACTACTGTCACACATGAGCCGAAGCATATGACATGAAAACGGTAAATTCAAAGGGTGCTTTTTTTTCAATGTTCCAACGTGGCTTCCTCCTCTCTTTATTCCCAGTTTCCTGCCTTAAAACCAAAACTGGTTCGATAAATGTAGTCAATCGGCAAAACGTAAAAGATGAAAGAGGCCAATTTGGACTATTGAAACGCTCCCCGTCTTGCTCCATTTTTTTTTTTTTAATGCAAGCACATGACAAGCACCTGCAGCTTCTTAAAGTCTCCAATATGCATCAGCTAAAAACTGCTCAAAGATAGTTCAAAGGACATACAACAGAAGAGAACAAAGATTCACAAGTATGAAGGACAAAATTCTTGACTCCAGACCCATAATTTCTTAATAGTGATATCTCCCCCTCCCCTGCCCATTTGTAACATTAAATACTCCCATAACATATGCAGCTTCGCCCTCCCAAACCCGTGCACAACTCTTCTCCCTCGCTTTTTCATGAGCCAGTGTTGTTCTGAGTGTGAGCGCTTCATCACGTCCATCTCCTCGCAGGATCTTTGTGTGTGTGTGTGTGTGTGTGTGTGTGTGATTGTGTTTGGGACCATCGAGTTGCTCCTGTAGAGAGGTTGGATTACACGTTGGCCTTTTACCAGATATATCCCCCGTCATCCACCTCTCCCACCTCTCCCTCCTCCTCCTCGGCCTCCTCTGCAGTCTCCTCAGCTTCTTTCTCTTCTTCATCTTCCCATCCGACCCCGCTGCCAAAATCACCTGAATATGCCATTTCATAATCTGCGGGGAAGACGGAGAGGAGAAAAAAAAAACACAGGGAAAGAGGGGATGTAGATAAATTGAATTATCCGCTGTGGCCATCTTGCACATTGCAATAAATTCTGTTCAGCATGTCTTCCACTCAACTTTGATGGAGTCCTTTCTATACCAATGAGAAATGCTGGAATCAATTTAAAAACATTCACTGGAATGGCAAAAAAAAAAAGGAGGGGGCATGTGTTTGACTTTGTCTGGGTTTTAATAGCTATTTCTAAACCTTGCCAGGGAACCCATTCTTATCAGGCGCAGGTTCAGTCCAACCAGCCCTCATTTATCTTGAAAGACTTTTCTCACAGCGACAAGCGGCGCTTTAGAATGCAAATGACTCCGGACACATGAATGTGGCACTGGTCCCTGCAGTGAGTTATGTTGCAGTGGGCCTCAGTCCTTTAACATAAAGGAAGCCTTGTGCAGAATGCATGTGGGGATGTAGAACTGGGCCGATCTGAGGTGGACATGTTTTTTTTTCTTCCTTGCCGCTTTCAAGTTCAGATTCTATTCATTTATTGACAGCTGAAACCTATGGGACTTACCGCAATCTGGCTTGCCGCGAATCCTAGATCCGGCTACTTCTCCTCCGTTTTGGTCCACACACCAGCACTCTCCCCTGTCACACTGCTGCTTCCTGTAGTAGCCGTCTTCATCGCAGCTGGGAATGAATCGGCCTGGCATTTACACGCACACATACACAAATACAAATCAGGCACAGTAATGGGGGACCTTAACTTACAAACGGCACGGCAACAGCAGACAAACACATCCTGCATCACGTCTTGTGGCACCGAGCCAAGTGAGAATGTAATGCATGCAGCATATGTGGCAGCCAATTCCATATTCCATGAATACAAATATGATCATGGAGCAAGATACAGAGGAGTAAGAACTAAGTCAGCACACTGCAGCATATTGGGGTGGTGTGGTGGCGACTGGCTAATCATCAGGTTATAAAGGAGGGGGGGGAGTTGGAAATGTTTGGATTGCATTCCAAGTATATAAAACGCAGCCTGTGTTCACATGTGAGTCATGAAAAAGGGGCGCAGCACAGTTGTGTTTATAAGTGACCTTGTTGTAAACCGTCACACTGGATGGATTGTTGTCGTGATGTATTTTTATAATGTTGTAACCGTAATACAAATGAGATGTGGCCACAACCGAAAAATGTCCATCCAGTCTTTCAGGGGGAACATCTGAGCGTCGGGCTGGCAGACTGCCCCCTGCTCGCCGCTCTGTGTCCTTGGAGAGTCCTGACTCAGAGCCCAGTCAGCCAGCCAAAATCTGCAGTGCGCACATGCAAACACACACATGCCCAAACACACACACACACACACACACACATACATGCAAGACACAGAGCGATGGCTGCTTTCCTTTGCCGTCTGTCAGTATCAAGTTATAATCCACAAGACTGATCAGGGACTAATCCCCACCTCCTGCTTGTCATCTGCTCGATGAAAACCTCAACCAAGAAAGACAGATCTAATTGAGTTGAAATGCTCTTATGAGAAGTCAGATACCTACCGAACTTTCTCTTGCCGCCGTCTAGTACTTGGATCCTCTCGAGTTCGGCCAGACAGGGTGGCTCTTAAAAGAAGAGAAAATTATTTTTACAAGAGAGAATAAAGTCACCGAACAGAGAAAATGACCTAAAATCTGACAGAAATAATCCTTTGCCAAAACCGAATTCATTTGTCAGTATAATTCATGTCTTCGAATGACTCCCGGCAATTTTAAAAAATCCCAAACAAAAACTGTACGTTCTTGGGACCTATAACTAGTTTCTGCTTGGCTGGTTAATGGACATCCTCAATCTGTGAGAGCTGTGGGAGAACCAGGCTGTTGACAAGCAGCAGGAATGTTTTTAGTGCCTTGCGGTGACCATTTCAGCCCACAGGGGGACAGAAGGATGAGTAGGAAGACAAATAGTGATGGACCAGCACATAACACAGAGGCGGCTACACCTGAGGGGCAGCTGTGCGCCTTCAAGTTTGAATGCATGTGGCGAGGGGAGGGTGGGGGGGGAAATGTCAGCTCACAGACACGACAATGTGCCTGCGGACACCTCAAAACCTCAACACTCACTCTCTCTCCAGAAGCAGAGGCACCATTCAGCGGTGGAGACCTTGCCGTCCCTGTAGGAGTCGCAAGAGTTGAAGAAGGGCCGAATGCAGACCTCGTACTTGTCCAGGTTGATGGCAGCCAGCTCAGCCTGATCCAGGTAAAGGTCGCTGTTGGTGTCCAGCTTGGAAAACATCCAGCCTATGGAGTCCTTACAGCTGGCCACCAGGCTCCTGTCCAGCACTGCCAACACAAAGACAGAGAAACAAACACTCATTTTTTATCAGGGGACAGCTGCACAAATGGAAAATAAATCCATGCCAGCGTGTTCAGAAACATCTCCTGTTTCCAATGCAAATGGGCTCCATTTATTAGTTTCATAATCATGTTACCAGTTTAAAATATTAAAAAATGTGACTTATATGAAATTATCTTATCTCTATTTTTTTAAATCAAAAGTATGGACATTTAAGACAGTATCTGTGAAATCTTACCTTGATATATCAACTAATATCTAAGAATTTACAAAAAATAATCAATAGGCCATCGACCCACTTTCAGCACCTTTTTTCACACGTTGAAAACTGAAGGTATGTTTGAACAACGATATCTCAGCAACTATTAAAGATAAAAGCCTGATATTTTCATTTGCTGTTTCTCATCATGCCATTAATTCAGAATCTGCAGTACTGATAATAATACAGATAATCTGAGTTGAAATATGAACAAAATCAAAGCCATCATTCAAAAATTGATCATGCTGAAGTCAACCAGTAATATTTGCTGACCCACATGTTGTCGCATGCCACTTAGAAAACGTTGTAATATGAAATACTTGGTCACAAAAATTAAATGAAAGTTCTTTTTGTTGAACGTTTGTAACTGATTGAGCAGGTTTGACAAGTTTTGCGACGATAACAAAAGCATTGCTAGATAGTGAATTCCACGTAGAACAGAGTTATGAAGTTTAAAAATGGTTCCTCTGATATACCTAAGTAATTTTTTTTAATTAACTAACTTTGAGATGGAATGACCCCATTATAACTTATCGTTTTCAACCTATTTCCAAAATTTTCCACCTCAGACTTTACAGCCTTATTAAGACTTGAGCATCAACTGAGCTGACCAGATCCTGAAGCTAAGTCTCCGTTGCTTTGAAGCACAAGCACTTGTATGTGAAGCAACATCATCTCGATCCATCCTCCCAAAAATTATTTCCATGTGTGCGATATCCGGCACTCGGCTACACCCTCTATCTAACAGTGGAAGCAGCACCAGAGGAACCATAAAGCTAAATTTGTGAGAATTTTATTTTCCCGTTTTTGTTGCTTTTCTAATCCCCCTAACTGTGTGTTAAGCTATCTGAGGGAAACCAGTTAATTTATTAATGGGACACCAAAGGGTTTTTATGCATTCAGACATCCAGAGTGGTGCGGTGTAAAACTGTCGTGTCAACTGTTACCTCAGCAGGTTTGTCCTAACTGGGATATAAACTTAGATTTAATGACTTGCTTGGACGTTTTTATAGTTGACTACCTGTAAGTATTGAGATGCCCTCTCAGTGCGATTGGGAATTCATTAAGTGCTAGCTCTAACCTGATGTGGTGCTGGCTGCAGTGGCTCGGGCCCCCGGCTTGCTGTTGTTGTTCTGCTTGGCATTGTTCTGCAGTAGCTGGAACCAGTCCCTTAGACGCTCGCCGAGATCAGCCAGATCCTGCCCGGTACAGCTCTCTGTGTAGGCCAGAGGGACGGAAAGAATACGATATTTGTTCTTCCAATTTAAGAGAGAGTCCTATATTGCAGGGCTCCAGTAAATTGTTTTTTCGTCACAGTTGTTGTGTGTGTGTGTTTTTTTTTTTTTTTTCTCTCTCACCATGTTTACTCTCCTTGGATGTCGGGGCAGCAGTTGGACAAGGACACAGACCTGAACACTTGAGGGTAAGCTCCTTCCCTGTAAGACACGCCTGCTGCTCCAGCTTGCACTGCAACCCAAACACACACACACACACCATCATTAACACACACACACACACACAGGCACCGGCGACATCGACAAGGGGACACAAAGGTGAAGTAAAATGAGTTATTGCCGCAACACATATCAAATATTCATGAGGTGACCGACTGTAAGCCTTAATTCAAATCGGAGACTTTCTCCTGAATGTGCCTCGCAACCTCTGCTTGCACACAAGGTCAGGAATAGTGATCCAAAAGACAAAGCATTAATCAATAAATACACGGGATTCTGTCACCACAAGCCACCAATTGGTCCTTCTGAGACCATACATCACGGCTTTTTGTCTCGTTTCTTTTTCCCCAGAGAGCCTCCTCACACGGCTCGGCTCTGAGCGTGCAAGGTTTGTGCCGGTTCTTACCTGAATGTAACAGATTTAAAGGTGCAAATAAATGTACCTGCTGACGGTAATAAGTGTCAGGACTATTTTAGCAAGTCCTATCAACGCAACATATATGATTTTGAGGCATATATTACAGAACATATGGGATGTTGAGTTAACAAGCACTTAAGCATAATTTTCACTCCTTCAAGATCCAAGCACGAAAATAAGCTGTAAATTGAAAAGTTTATAGGTGTTTTTTCGTGCATAGAGCAGAGAGGAAACAGATTGTAGCCAATGATAAAGAAAAATCACCAGCATGATAAGGATTGAGGTTTCCTAAATGGGGTTTCATTTACTCAAAAATAAGAGACATTTTTGTTAATCAAATGATCGGATATAACAGGAAAAGGCATAGATTTGCTGCTACACAGACTCCTTGACTTCACTGTAATCGGGCTGATCTTGCTTACTGTCATACAAAGTCACTCTCCAAAGTCCCATTCTGACACAGAAAAAACCTTGACATAGCTTACCTAGAAGAGGGTAGGAGTATATAACAAGATTTAACACTAATTCTACTGCACCATATGCTGCAGCCTTGCAATAATGATTACAGTTTGCAGGGAATCATTAAACTGGACTGCACAAGTCTGCAAAAAGACAAGATAGCCTATCACCATGACACCAAACCCCTGAAGGTGTGAAAAACGATAATACTCGATTATTTCTCAACCCTGTGCGTGTGTTGTTTCAGCATACCTTTGAGGCGTAGTTGTGCCCGTCCGACCCACACACAGGCCCGGTGGAGGAGATGGGACAGGGCTGACAGTTTCCATCAGGAGACCTGAGCACAGGCTGCTTCAGTCTGCAGGACAGAAAACACACAAACACTTCAGCCTCACTACGTCCAGCTGAGACAGCAACCGCTGTGCTAATTCCGACTACAGACACAGCAGCACCAACCTGGGCAGGAAGCAAACAGCCCTTCTCCATGTTGTCTGAATGTATTAGCTTATCATTAAACAGCAGGCAGTCGAATTACACTGGTGCACAAACAAGCTTTATTATTACCACTGTGGCCCGACAGGGAAACACATTCCAGACCAGCACTAGCTATAAAGTTTCAACTTGGTTGTGTTGACCTCATGTTGGTGTGCATGAGGAGGATTTTTGACTACTTGTGTGTTTTGGGGATTAGTCAGTTCTTGCCCAAGGGCTACACATACTCACCTGTGTTCAAGCTTCTTGCGGTTGACGCAGACAGCTCGCTGGTAGCCCTGGGCGATACACACCTTGTGTCGGCTGCACTTAACCTTTTGACAGGGGTCCTTGGTGGTGTCTACATCTGGGAAACAACAAAAAATGAGATGTATACTTTAGTATCCCCCAGTCCTTCACTTTTTTTACCTTTTTCTCAGCCTTTCTCTACCCATCATCGCACGCCTCGCTCCCAGTCTCAAATCCCAAATCCCTCCTCTGTACTTGCTCAGCATAAACTGCGAGTCAGTCCAAATTATTAGAGCAGCGCAGGACTGTTAGTCTTGCCCTGTTATAAATACGCATTGTGAGACAGTGTGTGGTTTACAAAAAAATCGTATTACTGCACATGAACGCAACACCGTCTAATAGGATGAAGCAGATGAATTTTGTTTTGTTGTGAGCTTTTTGTTTAATCATCTTTTGGAATAATGTAGTCTCAAGATAATGTCACTCCATTCACCTGGTTTGTGTTCTCAGAGAGTGCACTTGTCACGCATCGCCGGCACACTTCTTTTATTTACTTATTCAAATTTAATACTACACTTTAGGTGAGACAAATCCTCCCTGCAGTGTCGGCTAAAGCCCGGACGGGTAGCTCGCTCTGCTCCATCCATCACGCTCTCCGCGAGCAGCTAATGCCGGACCGTGTGTCAGCACCTCACACACACTCATATGTCACAGCTGTCTGTTCCAAGCGGGCCTCCTGGAGCCTGACCTGGATGTCAACCTCTATTCTCTTTAACTCCCCCGGCCTGTATTCACCTACACTATCCATCAGTACAGTACAAAGGAATACGGCTTATTCGCATGCTACTATTGCGGGTCTCATCTATTCGACAGAGGCTGCTTGTAAATCATGCTTTCATTCATCGCCCGCTCTTACTGTATCCTGTTTTATGGCACCGCTACAATTTTCAGCAAGCAGGCTTAGGATCTCCTCTCTTGTCCTTCTCTGGTGGCTGAATACATTAATGCTGCCTACATCGCAGGATTATCGAAGCAAACCGACAGATATCTGATTTGAGAAGCAAATCCAAAACAATGCACCCCCACCCAAACCCTCCTCCCCCAACCCTGTCATGGCTGAGCTGGTTGTGTAACTGACTGACTGCTCTGCTGCCGGGGAGAAACAGTGAAGCTCGGAGGCATTAATGCCCAGATGCAGACTCCTCATCCATTTAGACTGTCAACAGTGGAGTCTTATTCTCTGGTCGCCCCTTATCCCAGTTGGCATTGATTGTGTGGACTATCTCAGTGTACAGTATCACACACGTCTCCCAGCTTTTCTCCGTGTCTGTCTCTGCCTTTCTCATTCTTTCTCAACTCTCTCCTCTTTTGTCACCGTCTGCCTTTCTTTTCCTCGCGGGTTTTGGTGTTTCTACCCCCCTCCAAGTCCAATTCACACCAGTGCATCAACAGACTCAGGGTGCAGCAGCCAATTCCACCCTCGAGACCCTCGGTGACATGAAGGACGAGGCGACTGAGGTAGTAATGGGGGGCTACAGGACAGCAGGTAAGGGAGGGCGCGACGTATTTCGCAATTCCGTCTAACCGACGCTCGCACCAAATAAATGACAAGTGGCAACGTGCAAATATAGAGAAGATAATCCTGCCTTCTAATAGCAAAACATTTGTAAATAAATCTTGTCGGTAGTGAGCGGCTACAATGCTGGCACGGCGTTGTGTTGTGAGTACAGAAGCATAAGGTGGCTGCCTGAGCCTCATGTTAACTTAACAGGCTTCCACGGATTAAAGCAGTGCCTGCAATGATGACGTTTCCATAGCAACAGGCTCTCTGTGGTCTGGGAATCATTTCTGGGTTGACTGTGATTTGCAGCTCAATCTGGTGTTTCTGAGAACTCTCTCCCTCTCTGTATCTGAAACCCCCGTTGTGCAATCATGTTTATCAACTTGCCTTTTTCCTTCCATCTTTTCACCTTCCTTTGTCTTCTCCCCATATTAGACATCTTCACTGTGTACTCTCACACTTGCTCCGCCTGTGTGCTTATTATTTTCCTCCTTGCATCCACTCTTTCTTCATTCGCTCTCCCTGATGCACCTACCTACTTACGTTTTTTACTTTTTTTTTTTTTTAAAGTCTCTCCTTCGGTGTTAAACTAATGCCTGCAGCAGTAAACCTCTCCTAATTAGGCTCCCTGTGCTTCAGACTAATCCAATCCACATTTGCATGAGGTTTATCCCTGCAGAGCTCAGGCCACATCCTCATCATCAGAGCTCTTATCTACTATTTACACACTCAGCCTCTAAGGTCATCTGTGCTACGTTGTCTTCTAGGTAGAAGTGAAGCCAAGCACATCTCTGTTGTTTATAATTGTTGATGCACTCCATGCAAAAAAATGTCGTCACTGCTTCTAAATATGATGCAAAAGGTACCAGGCAATATGGCGACTTGTAACTTTCACATTAATTTTTTTCAGGGATGCACAATAGCATCGGTTTGATAAATGATGGATGAAATATTGTCCCAAAATTAAGATTGACAGGCATGAAAATGTTAGATAAAAAATGAATATGGCATATCTTAGAATAAGAAGATTTGTTACAAACACACTACAGCACCGTGAAAGTCTTTTCTTCGCATATCCCAGCTTGTTGGGAGGCAGACAGGGTTAAGGCCAATTCATGTTTCCGGGTCTGTGTAAATTTTGTCTTCCCCACAAATCCACTAGGGTTGTGGACGCCCACGTGCAGCCCAACATCTGTGACCACGAAGACTCCCTGCACTGCAAGCCGACTGCACACGTGCAAGGAAAACAAATGGTGCTGAAAACAAGTGTTTGGTATGAGGATGGACTGGTCTCCGTCATCCACACCTGTGTGATCGCAACTTAAGTATTTGCTGCCGGACTTCGGAGGTGCTTTTATTTGTACATTCTTACTACTGATGAAGCCTGAATAAAGTGGGAACTCCTAATTTCTCCAGAAATCCTGTGCTATGTCCGTCCACTGTGCTCAACACATTGGGGCTTGAACACCTGACTAGTGACTGAGAGCCTCAATCACTGAATCACCACTGCCCCCACTTTCTTATTTTATCAATTATTGTATTAAATTTCTGCACCTGCTAGTGGGCCATGATGATTTGGGTAGCCATAATATGTTAAGTCAATTACTGGACAAACTTCTCTGCAATAAGGTGGAAATAATATGTTTTGATATTGGCAATTGGCCAAAATGAGTTCGAATATCAAATATTGGCAAAAATACAATATAGTGCACCCCACAGCAAATAACAAATAAGATGCAGTGTGTTAATTCCAATCTTTTCGCTTTATATTTAGTGCAGACACATGAGAACTGTCTCTTCAACAAAGTCTTGGCAGGAAAGTGACTGTTTCCCAGAATGCCTAACTTTAACGATAAAAATGTTGACTACTGCAGCTTTTCTAAAACCATTACTGCTTGCAGAAACTGTGGAGAAAAAATAATAGGGAAATAACTAACAACCTAGATTGAGGATGTATCTTGGAGCATAGTTAGAGAAGGTTACATAGAGAAGATTCATTGGCAAGAAAATAACGTGAGGCTTTTCTTATAAATATTAGTTTTAAAAGCAAGATGAGGTTGACTCCCCACTGGAGTTACAGTATGTAGGGTTTGAAATTTGACAGAAGCAACCCAGTGGCCTGAGAAAGGAGAGCAGGAGGTGACACTGGACAAATTTGTAGAGTGTGAAGGTGAGAAGGGCAGCAGGACTCCTCTGGAGGATTGTAATGCCTGTTTTTGGAAATTGGAAGGTGTAGCAGTGCAGTACATTTTTTGGATATTATGAAGTGAAAATGTTTTAATAGCGTTTGAGCAGGCAGGATTTTTTCAAAAAACACAAAAGATCTGCTTGATCGTCTTCTTTTGAGCTGGTGGGCGGTTAAAGATTTCAACAAGGCATTTGGTGGCAATCCACCATATGTGTCCGTGTGCATGTGCTTCCCAAACACCAATATCTATCAGTAGTCTCAAGAGGTATTAAACTCTAAACCTTGCGGAGTGTGGACTCAGCATGTTCTCCTATCTCCTTACTGTCTGCCATTGATCTGAACCCACTGATTTGCCAGAAAGCGTCCATTCACCGTTCACCTGGCCTCTCCGGGCCGATATCGGCTTCTGGAAATCCACTTGAAAGCGTGCAAGGATCAGGTCTTTAGTGACTGCTTCACACAAGCGCTCGAGAGTCGCTGTGTATGTGCACATGTGTGTGTATAAGCTTGTTTGTTCCTACGATTCCAAATTACAAGCGTTCGTCTGCGGCGTTTACAGTGTTAAGAGCGAGGCGATTCAATCAGTAGCTGGACTGATGAATCGTCTGCAGAAATCAACTGCAAATTACCCTGACCTCTCCCTCACACAGCACAGAGTTGGCTACAGCGGAGTCAGCTAGTGTGGTGCCTGAATGCAAATTTCCATCCCGGTCTGTTGTCGGCGTGTCGACTGTCTGTCTGCTAGCTGGTGTTGACAGTTCTAAAGCTCTGTCTTCCTCGGCACGGCGGTGTAGCGGTCTGGCCTGCCTGGCTGAGAAATGAGGCCTGCAGGCTCAGAGCTCCGGAGTAAAGACATCACACTGATTTAGTGATGTCTCAGAGGGACAAATCTCCTCTTTTCACTCCTTCGCTTCATTAGGTCACTCATAAAGGAAGGCAGATCAATGGAGGGAGATAGCACACTCATGTCAAAATGAGAGAAAGGGAAATATAGATGAAGGGCTTTATGCTGTGTGAAATGAAAGTAGCGAAGCACTATTCATCTGACAACCTAAGGCAAGCATTTTTCCTTTTAGTTTCTTAAAAAACTGAGGATACAGATGTCACTTGTGAAGTTGATTTATATTGGTGGGGCTGACTGTGAAACCAGGCAACAGTTTGTGAGTTATTTCCTCTCCGCTGCCATACGAGAACATGAGGCGGTTCAGCAAAACCTAGGATTAGGTTTATCAGTTAAATTATATTATACTTGCAACTGCAACAAGTCTAAAAAGAAAAACATGACTGTGTGATGAATCTGAAGGAATGCAACTCTGGACATTCATGTTAACCAAACAACGGGCTGCAAGGTGGCGCAGTAGTTAGCACT